CCCTCTTTGCATTAAAAAATGGGACAATAAAGATAGAGGTGTAGTCCCCAAGTGGGACAGATGAAATGTTCTTTGTAATGGCCAGCAGGGGGCGACTCGTCAGACGAAAACTCCTATAAAATAACTCCTAAAGAAGTTTTACCCATCACTTTACAGTCACTTTAGTTGGGGTTTTTTTGGTAGACAAAAGTAGAATACTAATTTATTGAACAATAAAGAACTGAGTAGGGCAGTTTCCCTGTTGCCTGGCAACTCAACAGGCAGTTGTCCCAGAAAAAAAACCCATCAGCCCCGGCTTATCCAATCTAGTACCAACTGCAAAAGTAGTGTGAGGCTCCAGACGTGAAAACTGGGTGACCAGACTGGACAAAGTGGACATGTATTTGAATGCAACTTTTCAAACTCTCTTGGTAAATAAATACAAAAGGAATTAAAGCAAGTTAAAGTTTGTTCATATGGTGTCATGTGATAGTTTTTGCATGCTCCTATATTCTTATTTTACTGTTATTTCAGCTGCTATTCTGTCTGGTAACAGTCTTCATTCATGGATTGGAATAGCTTTTATGAGCCATATCAGACTATTTGAGCAATTTCTAGTGATTTATACATTTATACATTTACATTTATTTATACATTTTATATTACAAAATACAGTGCAAAAAAAATAACTTGCAAAAAGGAGACAATTTTGAGTATATATTGGCTTTTTATTTTCTTTGTGGTGTTTTTCTACCGTATTCACCAAACTCTGCAATGCTAGTGACTTTTTGGTAACTTGTAACTTTTACTGATGGGCTAGACAGGCTAACCTTTATTTGATTTTAATCATTTATATGCAGTGGGTAAAAAGCCAGACTTTTGAAAACTGCGTGTCTTGCAAAATCAGTCAGAATGTGGGACACTGTCTAAAGATATGGAGCAGGAGGAGAATGAGTAAACATGCTGTGCAGTGGCACTTAATGAAGGGCATCTGGCGTAAAATCTGTGTGGCAAACCCCTGTAAATAAGAGAGGAGTTGAAAGTACTCGTAGTATGCTGTGTTATTTTGATTCTGGCCATCGTTTACATATAAATGCAGCTTATAAACACTCTGCGATTGTTCTTTTTTCATTATTGCTTGACTGCCCTCCATAATAATTTCTTTTCCTCAGGGTTACCAGGGATTGGTGGATGGGGGAGACAACATCAAACTGGCCCACTGGCACAGTGTGACCAACATTATTCAGCTGGTAGGTTAAAATATTACTGTGGTTAAAGGTAGCTGTTATAAGAGACGATATTCAGCACAGAGTAAAAGTTATTTTGCTACAAAACACTTCAGGAGTAGACATTTTCATATGGGCAGTGTCACACCAGTACATGGACACTTAAGCGGCTAATTAAATTCAGCCATCATGGATTTTACTCGTTAAATTTATGGAGGACCTAATTTAGGAATTGTCAGTTTCCTATTTTTACTCTCTCTAAGACCCTTAAGGATCTCCTTAAAAATTCATGTGGCTTATGTCTGAAAAGAATTGAATTTTTGTTGTTGTTTTTCTGAGCTTAAATCTTTCTCTATTTCTCTCTTTTTTTATAGTCTTATTGTTATTATTTCATCCATGTCTTCTCGTCTCTTCTCTTCCTATTACTGGTTGTAACCTGGTAAGGAGCTTTGCTGCATGCGCTTTTAGCCTAATCAGACGCAGGCTGCACTATTCAGAGTGCCAGGCTAAGTAAACAGTCTTCCAGCCAACCCAGGTGGCCTTGCATAGGGGAGAAACAGTCTAAGCATCTGATTAATTTTTTTTCAAGATTGGCACAAACAATAATTTGGATTCAAGGATGAACGGATTGGATTTTGGTGATCAAAGGTCACCGGGACATTTGTTGCCATAATTCAGACATTTATTATGACAAATTTAATACAAATATCTTAAAACAAAAGATAAAGTGTTGACATTTATTATCCAAATAGCCAAAGGTTCCCTTATTTTTACAGCCTTTATCCAGTGCCAAAGAGAGGTAGCGTGTGACCATATTTCACATATGTGAACTGTGTTTTGGTTGGGTGCCCACCTTGAAACTGTAGTGGCTGTAGATAAAATGTGTTTGAGCCCAGTATAGTAGATCTCCTGTGCTGCTGGGTTGAAAGTGCTAATGAAGCATCCATGTTTTAGAAGTTGTCACATCCAGTTCTGAAGCGTTGTTTGCTCTCTGATGCAATATGCTGAATAACTTTTATTAAATTCCTTCAAAACATCTCACTACATTTATGTTATGAGTCCCAACAGACATGGATGCAAACTGCAGCTTCCCTGGCTAGCAGAGTCTTTCAGTGTGAGGTAGTAATTGTATCTTACCACCAGATTATCTGCCAGAGTATCCTGTATGCAGGTAAATCTAATCTGTGTGTACCTGTGGTTCCCAACCTTCTATTGTTGTGCGAGTCCTCCTCCCCAGGTTTATGTTTATGCATTTTGAGAGGTCAAAACCAAAACAATTGGAGAAAAATCAAATTACTTCACAATTGGCTGTTTGAATCTTATATCCACCAATACTGGGAACCATTGCTTTATGAATCTCACTGATCTAAAAATGCCTGATTAAAATATTGTCTGCCTTAGTTTGGTTTTTGACTTGTTTTACATCTCTGCTGCAGGGTGGGACCGTGATAGGCAGTGCCCGCTGCAAGGCCTTCATGACGCGTGAGGGCAGAGTTTCTGCCGCCTTCAACCTGGTAAAGAAAGGCATCACCAACCTGTGCGTGTGTGGTGGTGACGGCAGCCTTACCGGAGCCAACATCTTCCGCAATGAGTGGAGCGATCTACTCGATGAACTCGTAAAGAAAGGTGAGTGTTGCTCAAGAAGATCAAACTACTCAGAGTGCATATCAGAAACAAGAAGTGGAGTCATTTTTTGTTGAAGTCTCAGAAAC